CCCCATGCGTTTTTCGAGGTAGCTCGTATCTTTCCACTTTTCGAGTATCGGACGGTCGGTCATACAGCCATCGATGAGCACTGGTACATGCTGCTCTATGATCTGCCTGAATTCGTGAGCGGTAGGCGGTTCGGTCAGGCGCACTGGCCAATCTTGCGCCGCATCTCCCTGTGCAAAGGGGATTCCCTGCTGCTCGCGTGCTTGAATCGCTCGTTTGCGGAGCAGCAGCAGGAAGGGATCGTCCACTTCCGCCTCAGACTGCATCATCACGTGTGAGTTTTTGCCCTAAGCAGGGACATGTCATCAGCAGCAGCAAAAGCGGATGGCAGGTTGCAGCTCTTCACGGTGTCGACGGTGAGAAGAGGGTCCAGCCGTGAGCGGCTTGCAGAAACTCGATGGACGTCCATCGGGATCGGTAGCCTCAAAAATCGCGATTCATCCAAAAACACACACACACACACACTGCATGCGCGCTTCTCTTGAGGGTTTTCTCCCTGCAGCTTCTCTCGGAGGAAAGCGAACAACACAAAGCACGCGCCGCGCCTGATCCGCAAGACTTGCAGAAAAATCGTACCTGCTGCTGCAGTCACGAAAAGGAGTTTGCGTGTTGCTTTGTTTGCAGGTGTTGGTCTCGAACTCAGGCTGGCTAACATGTCTGCTGTTAGGCAAGGCAAACAAAGATTTGTACTGTAGCTCGCTCGTTTGATCACTGACAAAACGAGATGCTCTCACTCTCTACCTGCACGCTTGCAGCCAACACCGAACCTCTTGAACTGGCGCTGTGAACCCTGCATGTCACAAGAAACGGTTTCTGTAACCTAACTTAACGTGCTGTAAATGACAGTAGCAGCCCTGCTGCTGAATCATCCATTCCTCTTGGAATCGCTCTCAAGACCGCAGATGGCACTCGAGCTAAAGCGTGCCTGACATGCACACAGAGCTTGTCGGTCAAGTCGGTCTGGCGTTCGATCGGTTGCAGCATCCTCGACTAAGTTAGCTCGCTTTCGGCTCTTCCGTCCATGCCTTGCTCTCTTCCTTTCGTTCAATCGTCGCATACTTGACAGTACCTAACATACCACCACTCTGCCAATTCTTATCAACAACACGCTCGACTTGAGCTCGGAAAGCATCCGACACACAAGAACAGGAGAAATCGCAAGGGTGCCGACTGCGATCTGCGACAGATCTCCATCGACATTTACTAGCATCACATGGCCATATCGCGACATTCGACAAGATGAATCACGCCGTGCAAGCATCTTCCTCTTTCTCTTCCTCTCACGACCCAAGCACATCACCCAAAGCATCCAACTCCTTGTACCGTAGCATGAACGAGATCTCGCTCGAATCACCACCATCGATCATCGCCTCGTCGTCACGCGCTCCCACCACCAGGCAAACATCAATATCACCACCTCTCCGCAAGGCATCAAAGTGCTCATCCCAGACCATGCAGCAGCCCATCCTCATGGAACTCAGCACAAGCACAAGCACAAGCAGCATCGAAACCAGTCCCTTCCACCAGCCGTCTTCGCGGCGACTTTTCCACGACACACCCACAGCATCACAAAACTCATCCAAGCTCGATCTTGTCTCACCGATCGCATCTGGCAGTCTGCAAAACGAGGCACGCACTCCCACTGCATCCGGTCACGCTGATCAGGACGTCTTTGGCAAGATTGATCACACACCGCTCCGGCAGGAAACTCACTCGACCTCGCCTCTACCCAACTCGCGGTCCTTGCAAATGGGTGATATGCTAGATCATGTACTGGACGCTGAACAGTTTTCAAGGCTCTCAGTCGGCAACATCATCGCGCCAGAGAGAAACAGCTCCAAGAAGCCACCAAAACGTCTTCCCACAGATCCCAACAGCACCACCGCCTCCCCGACTCCGCTCTCCAGGTCATCAGCGCGGACTCGCTCAGCACTCACGTCAATAGCGGTTAACAAAGGCATCGACACAACAAAGGGCAGCCCAGCATCAGATTCCTTCATTCAGAGATCCTATCCTTCAGCCGAAGAGCTCTCGCTTCACGTCAAACATCAAATGGCAGCACTGCAGCAAAGCCCGCAAACATAATGGGGACCCTAGACTGATTTCATTTCTGTCGTGTCAAAGCGTAGCATGACAGGCAACGCCGCACTTGCGTATTCATCGTGCTCCCTTTCACCCATCTGCACTCTCAGCCAAATCTTTGGGCGTTGCCACTAGTTGCCAATGTCGCTCTCAGAGAGAGCTAGAACGCCAAAGTCACGAGCAAGCTGCTCCGCCTCTGCGCTACGATCCCGAATGCCAAGCTCGGCGAATCGTCGCTCCATCGAGGCTCGATCAATGACCGACGCTTTCCCCGCCGAATCATCGTCGTCACCATCATCCTCATCCTCGCTTGACAAAGTTTGATTTTGGTTGTTTCGCGGCTTCCTCGCGACCTGCGCCTGACGTGTGGGGCATCGCACCGAAGTATGGTCTTTCTTCTTGCAGCAGCTGCATGGCGAGACGGGACAGTTGTGCATGCTGTGAAAGGGCATCTGTTCATCGTATCGACAATTGAAACACCAAGCGGGCCGATCGGCGAAGCGGACAAGATAGGCGATGTTTCGAAAGACGAACCAGCCAGGAATGGAGGTGCGCGCCTCAAGAGTTACAGCACCTTTTTGAGTGTGCAGTTCCAGAAGCACAAGCACCTTGCCATTGAAGCGGCCGGAATTGCGGCAGTGGATCGACCACACATCCATGATCTTGCCAGCCCTGCGTATCCTCCCATTTTCTTGAAGTGCTCTGAGTACCTCTTGCATATCAGAGTCGGACGGCAGCATCTGGATGCACAAGGCCACATGCTTACGATTGGGCATGGCGCGGTCAACGAGCTCCAGCTCCGTGCCGTAAAATTCAAATGCGATGTCTCCATCGTACGCCTTGATAACATCATCATCGTTGCCAAAGATAACGTCGACGAATTGTGTACCACCTTGAGGAATCGGATGTCTGATCTCGAGCGGAGTGAGACGGTGTTTTTTGCACATGTTGAGGATGTTCTGAAGCAAGACATCCCGGTAGCTCGACTTGCTGACTCGATAGCGCGTCGAGAATTGCCATCGGACGCCGCCAGGAGGAATCCCGGTAGTTTCGACTTCGACGTGTAGATCTTGGCCAGCCATGACTGGCTCGGCGCCGTGCGAGCTAACCAGGCGGTACTCGAATTCTTCCACCATTTCGATGTCCTATATGCGGTCGTCGCACCGAAGATGGGTGGGCAGTCGCTTCAAGAGGAGCGCTGCGTGTAGTGGCACGAGAGGATGACGAGAAGACGGGCTCAGAAGGGATACTTGCCAGGAAATGTGAGCCTGGATACGTAGATGGGGAGAGGTCGAAATTCTGCCGATGAATGTACTTATATCATCCTGGAAGCTGGACGCACGGCTCAGCTAGTCATGAATCGGATACTGTGATTCAGCCAAGAACAATGCGTTGGGTCAATCGCCCTGTGTCGCGCTGCTTCCTTTATATGTGTGTCGTACGTCTCATCGAGTTGCAGTGCGGAAAGGAGGACGAGGCGGCCCGAGCGCCCACTTTGCGCACGGGGTCATAGCCGTAAAGAAGCCGCATCCTAATGTGTGCAGCTTCGAAAGAGTCGGAAGGCTTCATTTGGGACCCTTGGCGTTTCGTGACAAAGAAAGGAGTGCATCCTCATCAGACGACATCACGTTCCGCCTGGTCGGGTTCTCCCTGTGATTCCATCACGCCAACTCGGTCAAGTCCAACGCTAGCTTCAACATCCCTTTCAGAGTGAACAGCGGCAAAGCGAACATTGGCGAGCAAAGTCAGGTAAAGTAATGATTCGTGACCCTGTGACCTCGTGAAGCATATCCGGAAGCGGTGTTAAGGCACAATTGCGCCGAGCTCGAGCAGAACCAAACTTCTTGACTCTTCGGGATGTGTTCGGTCGGTCGACGACGCTCGATCCAACGAGATGTCAGGCTCTACCTTCATGTTGCGCTGCGGCCTGCACTGAGCATTATAGATGCGGTGCATTTCTGCGCAAGTCCCGGACAGTGCAATCTCAAAGCAGAAGCAGAGACACTGCGCTGTTAGACGGAGAAATGGGCAGCTCCCGGCTCAAAGCACGCTTATTTCACTCAAAAAAATTCCGGAGTCAATATCTGATGTGGTCAAAGACCAATCTTTGACGCAAGTCCGTACCGTTGCGGAGCCGCCTCCACCCGAACGAGATTGCGTCGATTGCAATCAAGGTTGATTGCAGAGCAAACTTTAGCTTCTGTGTTCTGCTCTTCCGAGACGAACGAATGTGGTCTACGACTCATTCTGCGCATTGCGTGTGTTCTCAGCCAGATTTGAACCAAGTTCAAGTTCAAGAGGCTTGATACTACTTCAGCACAGTGATGAGGCACTGGTTTGCGCATGGCACAACACTTCTTTCATGTCTGGTGCACAATCAGGAAAGTCGCCTCATTCTCGGAAAGCCAATTATGGTGAAACTCAATTCTCGGACAGATGTCTCTATGAAGCCACTGCGGTGATTGTGAGGCTCACGAGGACCGATGAGCGGGTTAGATGAACTTAGCCGATGAGATCCGCCTGTGTGTCTCCGCCACTCCGACATCATGCTCTGCTTCAGTCTTCATTCCGGAGAACGTCGAGAACACAAATTTGGTCGTACACTCGTGGGTCTGAGTTGAGACAGGTGTAAGTTATATCTCCCACAACATCTCACTGACAGCTTGCCCGACAAGATTGCCCACGGAAATGGTTTGTTAAGTGCATCAAGCTCGGCCCCTAGCATGATATACTTATCCAATAAACTATGCAGACTGGACCCTTACCCAACAGTCTCGAAGAATCCCGATGCACTCATATTGTAGGTACATATATGCTTGTCAAACAGGAGAGTAAGACGCTGCTCAGAAAAGCAGGCCAAAATAGCTCATGTCAAACATGGCAAAAAGCAAGCAAGAAAATAACAGCAAAAAAGTACACATGGAGACGTGGGGGATTGAACCCCAGACCTTCTCGAGATTTGTCTTGAAACTGGTAGTTTGCGAAAGTGCAAACGAGACGCTCTACCACTGAGCTACGTCCCCGTTGATACAAAACCGGGATTATGTTACAATTATAATGGCTTTTACAAAGCATGAGAAGTGTCACTGACTTCGCTTTCTCCGTCTCGCTCCGTGTGGACTGCTTGCAAAAGCTGTGCTATACCAAGTCTAACAAAGAGATCCTGCTTGGCTATTCTTTGAGCATTGTATATAGGGTGACGTTGATAATAAGCTTTCTACGATAAATCTCGCCGACGCCGTCAGGAAGCCAATGGAAGCTGTTCATGGTTTGAGTCTCGATCTAATGAACTCTCGCTCTTCGATCGCCGGCATGTCAAGGATCAAACACTTGCATTAGGCGGACTGGAAAAGAGAACTATGAAACAGAATGTTCTTTCAATGGCGAACGTGACGTGAGTGAAACGCGAACAGGCAGGACATGGGCTATGATCGATACAAGCAGGCAAGCAGAAGTCGACAAGGAGAAGATGAAGCGGACAATGGGCGACGGTTGTGGAGTCACCGGTTACGGGCTGGAAGGGGGACGCTCTACTGCTTGTCAGCAGCATTGGCGGCAGCGGCAGCATTCATCATGCTCTTGAAGGTGAACAGAGATCCAGTCAGGAAACCGACTGAAAGCAGACTTGTAGCGTACATTGCCTTCGCCACCAGCTTCTTGATAGTGCGGCCGCGGAGAGGAGCTTGGCGCTTGTCACCGCCGTGATGAAGCAGAGTGATTCGACTCTTCTTACGAGGTGAGAGCGAGCTTGAAGTTGAGATAGACGAGCTCAACGACTCGGATGTTGTTGAAGAGGATGAAGCTACCGAGCCAGAGTCGGACTCGCCTGGATCCTCAGCCGACTCAGCTTCTTGAATAGCATCTATCTTACGCTTCTTTGTTGGAGCTTGGTCCGTCACCGAGGGCATGTCGACACCAACGGAAGTGAGAACAATTGAATGCTCTGCAGGCGAGGGCTGCTCAGATTTGTCAGCAAGATCCGCAGTTGGCGCCGCGATGGGTGGATACGGACTTGCGAGCTTTGCAATGTTCGCTAGCTCTTTGTGTTCCTCGTTTGTAGCCGAGGCGTTTCCGCTAATGTCATGCTCGGCATCGCACGTATTGATGGCGGGAGAAGGATCAGGCTTTGAGTTGCCAAGGTCGGACGTTTCGCTATTGATAGAAGTGTTGGGGGAATCTGCTGTGAGTTCACATCGAGTCTTGTAGCTCTTCATGTACCCTTCGCCTTTCATACGAGCTTCGATGGCCTCGGAGTTGAGCTCAGCTCGCTCAAGTGACACCTCCTCAATCTCACGGCGCCAGAGCATCTCGCGATGGTCAAATGGATCGAAGCTTTCCTCAGAATGACTGTCGAAATGGCCATCATCCGAGTCCTCACCATTGAGCTCCGAGCCGTCAGACTCCAGACTGGATTCGGACGGTGGAGAGTGAGGTTCCTCGTCATCATCGCTCGTCAGATCAACAATGTCGGTCTGCATCGAGGAGAGGGTGGCCAGAGTCGATTGGAGATCAAGAGGACCTGTGGCGGAGGCTCTGAAAGAATCGGCGTCGATACTGACTATGTCGGACTCTGAGTCGAGTGGGTCGTCGATGAGGCTGAACGGCTTTGTAGGCACGAACGAGGCTGACAAGGTGGGTGGAGCTGCAGAGACCAATCGTACATAGCAACGGACAGGATTATAGCTCGCATTCGAGCGAGTGCAAGTCTTTCCGAACTCAATCAGGTCACCATGACGCAGTGGAAGAACCCCTTCGACGGGCAGGAGGGGAGCGGAAGGTTCGGTCTCGTGCACAGTGCCGTTGTTGGCAAAACAAGCCTGGCGATGGGCGACGTAAGTGCCGTGAGTAGCGCCTTTGTCTCGAACAATGGGCTCATTGTGCAACCATTCAATTGTGGCATGATCGCGCGAGACTACCTTGGCCAGGGGAAAATTAACGTGAGTCGAAAGATCGTTGACCAGAGCGGACTCTGTCGGCGAGCTCGATCGAGAGATAGTCTTGACTCGCCCAGCTGGAAAGCGCAGGATGTGATGCAGACTTGGGTCTTTGTTGTCATTGGCAATGGGGCCATTGGGAGAGGCGTTGACCCAGACGAGCTCGAGGTCCGGATGAGGGCTAAGAGGTGTCATTGGAGCTCAATCTACTCTGTCCAACAGTGCAAGGCGTGGAAAGCTAGAGATATTGACGATGATTGAATGACTGAAACGTTGTCGAGGGGATATGACTGTGAAGTAGTGAGCGGGATGTCAGGATCGAGACAGATCTGAAGTCAGTATGGCGAGATGGTGGAAGCGGAAAAGGAGTAGCGTGGGCTGTATATATGGCGGGCAGAAGAGAGGAAGCGGGAGCGTTACATGTTCGCTGAACTCAGCCATTTTTTCCTTTTTGGACAGGGGCCCTTGCTCTGGTGCATCAAGTCCAACCTGTAGTATTGTACACGAGCGGCGGCGTAGCCGATTCTCTGATCCTGCGCTGTAGCTCACACATCTCTCGAAAGGATGACCACAACGCTTGGACCAACTCAAGCCATGCCAGACTGGATTGGATCCTGTTACAAGCGGAGTGATAGAGTCTCTTTGCATTTTTTATTTTTTTTTGGCAGACTCTATCTATGGCTGATATAGTGAGAATCACACATCACACCTCCGCTCTCGCTCGGTTCGGCTTAAACTCCATCACACTGTCACAGCAAAGACAACTGAGGGCATGCAAATCGAGTCAGGAGCTCGTAATCTCTTGGAAGGGGACCGTGACCGGGAGCTCAAGATCGGCTAGGTTCTGAGTGTTGGTCCTGAGTGCAATCTCGCCCCGTATGCAGGGTTGCATGCGTTATCAGAGAGGTGGACCCTGAAAGTCACCTTTTTTTTTTTTGGTCCCCTGTTGCAGATGTGAGTGTGCGCGCTTAGCTTTGTGGCTGAGTTGTTTTAGGCGCAATCTAGCGCAAAGGGTCGTGCGAGCTGCGCGCGCTTGATTTCATCCGTCCGATATAACGATAAAGCCGAATTCCGAACATGTCCCTCAGTTGGAAAGGACACAAATAACACCTTCGCGAAACCATCATCCTGTTCTTGAACAGCAATCAGGCTCACGCTTGCTTCCTTTGCGACATCTATTTCTTCCGCTTTCGGATCTCTACGCACCACTCCAGTATGCACCTTCCTTGATCCAAGTGTTACGACCTTTTCCGATCGCTCCTTTCAGCCGCTGCGGCTGGGAAGCACGTAGTCGAGATGCCTCCAACGCCCACACGCTCCGTCCAGCGTGGAGGTGCACGCCAGAGACAGGGCTCATCCCTTCACCCTCAAACTGGATCCGCTGCGAGCACGATGGCAGCAGCTGCTCGATCTTCTGTACAGCCAGCTAGAGGAGGAAGGGCTGCAAATGCCAACGATGCTGCAGCTGTCCCCTTCATCCATCCAGCGCTCGCACTTTCTTCCGGCGTGTTGCCATCATCCTCGTCATCCACAACGGGCCTGCCTCCGGCAGCAGCAGCGCAAGCTCGTGGTCGTCGACCCTTCAATCACCGCAATCTTTTTGCACGAGACCTTCGAAATCTCATGTATGCATATGGTGACTCGCCCAACCCCGATCCAGACTCGGTCATGCTGATGGAAGAGATGACGGTCGACTTTATCACCGACCTCTGCTGTCGAGCACGTCCCAGTCCATACTCGCTAGGACTCGGCACCAGCTCCATATCGAACAGCTCGAGCGCCTTCGGTGCCACTCTGGAGCAATTTGCCGCGTCGCAAGACCCGAACGCACTTGCGAATGGTGCAGAAGGCATCCCACTCACTCTCCCACCAAGAGCACCGCATCGACTCCGAGTCAAACTGGAAGATTTCCGACATGCGCTCCGAAAAGATGTCGAGGCAAAGAAGCTCGGTCGTATGGAGCAGTTGCTGTATGCAGACAAGGTCGTAACCGAAGCAAGACGTGTAGGTGGTGTTGAAGAAGCAGCCGAGCGTGCCGGTGCTATGCAGACCGACAACCTTCCACCACCAACATCCAACGGCGATGGACCGTCGCAGGACGCCAATCTGGATGATTTGGACGGTGACGATGGTGATGATATCGAAGGTGGGAAGCCTAGCAAATCTGGCAAAGGCAAATCAAAAGGTGGCGGGAAGGGCGGAGCGAAGGGCAAAGGCAAGCCGAAAGGCGTCGCCGCCGCTTCCAGAGCCGGATCTGCAAGACACTCTGTTCCGCCTTCGTAGCCCTCATCGCAGCAGCTCTGACCAGTCTTCACCGTTGTCACCAGCATCTGTGTGCACTCTCCGGCAAGGAATTGTATTTGTACTAAAAAGATCGTGCGCCTCGTGATCATGATGTATTACAGACACTAGAACATGGGAAGAGGGCGTGTGAGACGAGTCGCTTAGGGTTGTGCTGATGACACATTTAGATGCGCGAAGAGTTTCTGCAAGTCGTCCTCCAATGTGAAATTCCGAGCGGCGAGGATCTCGCGCAGCAAGGGCTCCCCTTTTGCCGTGACCAGCGACTTCAAAATCGATTCGATTCTCTTCTGCTGAGTGCCGCGACTGTCCTTGCCTGTCTCTGCGTCGTTGGGACTGAGCGATTTCAGAGCGGCGCCAACATGATGCGCCGCGATCTGCCATGCGATCGACCCTCTAGCCGTCGACACATCAGCAGCACCCGCAAGGTATCGACAGTAGTGCTCGAGCATGTCCGCATCCATGTCCTCCCAGCTGAGCAGCCACTGGGCAACCCTCATCGACGGCATGCTTCGCAAGCTGTCGCTGTAGTCATTCCACACCAGTCGTCGGAAGTCCACTGCTACACCATGTTCGCCTTCGAACAGCCCTCCACCGCACCCGGCGTTGGCAATTGTCATCACAATCCGAGCAAAGTTGGCATCGCCGAATGAGACTGAGTCCCAAAGGCCGACGAGGTCGGTAAAGAACTGGTAGGAGGACATGCTGCTACTGCCGTAGGTCATAGAGGTCCATTGTTCGAGTGTCGTGGTACTCATAGAAGCGTTGTCGCGGTGACGTTGGCGCAG